AGGGAATCCAGGAGAATTCCCCTGTTATCTTAATTGCATCTGCAAATCCCCTCTTGCCACAGAAAGTGACACGCTCTCAGGTCCTGAGAATTAGGATGTTATCTTTGGGAGGCATTATTCCGCCCACCATATCTCTATACTGTATTCAGACAAAATTGCAGGTTGGTCCTGTGCCACGTGGTCAGGTCCTGGAGAGCCCTGGTCTGATCAATGCTGCTGTGCTGAACGCTTTATGTTCGGCTGGGGGACAGCACCACCTGGTGGTAACACTCGGTAAAGCATCCATCGGCTGCAGAGCCGCTTTTCCTTTGGGGTCCTCTTCGCTTTTCCCACGGTCCCCGCAATCCCACCCATCCCTTCCGGCCACAGCCCGCCTTCTTAGACACAAAGCAGGCAGGAGTTTGTGAGAGAGAAGGTGAAGTCGTGAGGATGCCTCGTGATAAGATCAGAGCCTGTTCTCCGCTTTCCTCCTTCCCTCTTTCATTGGAGAATTTCCTCAGACACTGCAGGTGCATCCTTGTGAATGCTGAAGGCTTTCTGGAAATCCTCATTACTTCTCATATTTTCCTAAGTGAGCAGGAACTTGGGTAAGACCTGTATGTCATGACCCATTTAGATTCCTGTTCCTGTTTTGAAGTTAATGACTTCATCAGTGAGTTAAGGCTAGGAGTGTTCATTGTGTTTTCTAGAAAAGTCGAAACCAAGCGGAATCACAGATACACAAGATGACAGAATCAAGACTCAGAAACCTCTGAGTAGGCTGTTATTGTGCTTCAAAACAAAAGAAATAAAAATTCATATAAATAAATGTAAAATTTAGCATTTTAGTTCAAGCCATCAACCGCGTAGACATGGGAAGAAAATACCCTTACAGAGATCAAGTAGGAATTTTATTTCACTGTAGCTCAGCAAAGATAATTTAAAATTGCTGCCAAAAAGCCAGGTCCTTCTGGTCTGGACCCGCAAAAACAATTCAGTAAAAGGAAGGTACCTCTACTGTGTGTGTCCCACCACACCTGAGGACGGATTTCCCTTCCATGTTCATGACTTCAAGAGTTGCATTAACAAATGTCAGCCTACCATGTACCCAGCACTGTACGGGGCCTGAGGACACAGAAATATAAAAACCTAAACATAGAAGGTTAATATATCTTTAAAACTGTGTACTATGTATCCATAGAATGAAATACTAGCCATCCACGACAAATGATTTTTGTTGTGTATTTACTGAGCCAGAAGACATTCGTAATACATCATCAAGTTAAAAAATATACAAAATATAATATGTTCATTGGGTTCCATCCCTTTTTTACTGAAAAAGTTGAAAGAATATACATTAAAAGTTAACATTGATTGTCAGCAGGCAGTTTTTTTCTGTAAATCTACATTCTTTTTTCTATAATGAACATATATTACTTGTATCTTTTTTTTTTTTTTTTGAGACAGAGTCTCGCTCTGTTACGGGTGGGGAGGTTGGGGGGGAGTGCCGTGGTGCAATCTCAGCTCATTACAACCTCCACCTCCCAGATTCAAGCGATTCCTCTGCCTCAGCCTCCCAAGCTGGGACGACAGGCACACGCCACCACGCCTAGCTAATTATTTGTATTTTTAGTAGAAACAGGGTTTCACTATGTTAGCCAGGATGGTCTTGATTTGACCTTGTGATCTGTCTGCCGTGGCCTCCCAAAGTGCTGTGATCACAGCCTTGAGCCACTGCACCCGGCCTGTATCCCTTTTTAAAGTTATTTAAGAAGATATAATTTTGCTGTATATTTATTAACACAGACATTTATAATATATCAAGTTAAAAAATATACAAAACAACGTGTTGGTAGGGTTCCATCCCCTTTTATTTAAAAAGTTGAAGGAAAATACATTATAAATTAACATTTATTACCAGTAAGGAGTTTTTTTCTGAAAACCTATATTTTTTCTATAATGAACATATATTATTTGTATCCATTTTTAAAGTTCTTTAAGAAAATAGAACTTAGTAACAAATTTAGTTTTTAAATTATAGGAAGTATTAGGGGGCGATCATCACCTGCCGAGGCATTGCCAGGCAGGCTGTTAGTTAACAATGGTATTTTGCATTTTACCATTTAACAAAAGAAAGTGAATAAATGAACAGAAGTGCAGTGGCGGCCAGGTGCGGTGGCTCACACCTGTAATCCCAGTACTTTGGGAGGCCGAGGTAGGTGGATCACCTGAGGTCAGGAGTTCGAGAGCAGCCTGGCCAACATGGCAAAACCATGTCTCTACTAAACATACAAAAATTAGCCAGACATGGTGACGCACACCTGTAGTCTCAGCTACTCGGGAGGCTGAGGCAGGAGAATCACATGAACCCAGGACGCGGAGGTTGCAGTGAGCCGAGATTGCGCCATTGCACTCCAGCCTGGGTGACAAGAGCGAAACTCAAGTCTCAAAAAAAAAAAAAAAAGTGAGGTGGCAGTTACCCAGGTATGCCATCAGATGGCACCAAAGCAGCTAATATTTAAGAGCAGACACTGAAGCGCTTTTGCTCCAAAGAAACAACTACATAAGATTTTAAATATTTAAGAGTATCTGGATGGAATAAGTGTTTTTGTTTGCTTGTTTGCTTGCTTTGAGACAGAGTCCCAGTCTTTCACCTAGGCTGGAGCACAGTGACGTGACCACAGCTCACTGCGGCCTTGACCTCCTGGCCTCCTGAGCAGCTGGGACTACAGGTGCAAACGCCACCACACCCGGCTACTTTTTAAAATTTAATTTAAAATTTTTTGTAGAGATGAGGGTCTCACTGTATTGTCCAGGCTGGTCTTGAACTCCCAGACTCCAGAGATTCACCTGCTTCAGCCTCCCAAAGTGCTGGGATTACAGGCATGAGCCACCACAACTGGTTTGTTTTGTTAATGATGCATTTGATGTTACACAAAACTTTTCAAAATGATAGCCAAGCATGCAAATGTTTGCTTTAATGGTTTTTCGGGGTGGGGTGCTTTTGGATTTTTGTAGCAATATGACTCATGCACAAAAACCTACTGTACCACATCTGTGGGTCAAAAATCTAAAATGTTCTTGAGATGTGATGACTCTTTGACTCTTAACCCTGACTGTACAACGATCTCTTAAGTTTCTTGGAGGCAGTTTCAAGATTCTGATGCAGACAGTCATTAATAACAAATGATTACTCATCGCAGTAGCTGGTTCTCATTGGGGTGATGAGATGTGATCACTTCCTTGCCCTCTTTCTTCCCTGCCCTCTTTCTTCCCTGCCGCTCTCTCCTGCCTCCCAAGAGCACAGCTAGCTCCCAGCATCTTTGCTCATCTGAAGGACAGTGTCACCTAATCAGGCCAAGTTTGAGCAAGGACTCGGGAGCATATCTACTTCTGAGTCTGTGCTGCTGCCTTCAACAAGTTGCTGCTTGTTCTGTCCCCTTCCTGTACACAATTGACATGGTTCCCATGGGAATGCCCATGTTGGAGAGCGATGCTGTGTTTTCTTATAGCCCCCAGCTTTCGTCATGCTGACCATAGCAGGCATTAAACTCGCTTGAGAAAAATGAATGGTTATGAGAGAAAGTTTTCCACAGGTGGGCACAAAAAAGGCCCAGAAAGCTCTAGGAGCTCACAGTTGGGGAAACACACCTAGACTCTATGGGTGGTAAAAAGACTGCTAAGACTACGAGGCAGGAGAAGCCACGTCGGGACACACAGGACCAGGCTAATGATTCTGACCCCAGCATTGGTACTTTGTCCAAGGGCAACAGGATCAGAAATGTGCATCAGTCCAATGGTCACTGTCTGTGCGCTCTTCCCGAGAGCTTCACTTCCCTCCCTCTGCTGCCACCTCACCCAACCTCCCCTGCCTGCAGCAAAGAGAAATCATTCTCATTGGGATAAGTGAGAAAACTATGACTGTTTACCCTACTTGACTCTCAGCATTTGAGTGTGTGTATGCGTGTGCACATGCATGAGATCGTATCATGAAATTTAAAAATCCTGGCCAGGCGTGGTGGCTCACTCCTGTAATCCCAGCACTTTGGGAGGCTGAGGCAGGTGGATCACAAGGTCAGGAGTTCAAGACCAGCCTGACCAACATGGTGAAACCCCGTCTCTACTAAAAATACAAAAATTAGCCAGACATGGTGGTGGGTGCCTGTAACCTCAGCTACTTGGGAGGCTGAAGCAGGAGAATCTCTTGAACCCTGAAGGCGGAGGCTGTGGTGAGCCAAGATCACACCACCACACTCCAGCCTGGTGACACAGCAAGACTTCATCTCAAAAAAACAATAATAATTCAGTGAGATGATTCTTAAGAAAATTCATTACTATAGATGTGGCATATTCTATATCAGAGGTTGACACTGGAGATTGGATCAAGCAGATTTTACTCCATGAAAATGAGCATGGACCTTAATCCTGTAGGTAAATTATCCACAGAAAAGGTACATCACCTGGAGAGCTATTCATAAAGGGTCTTCATGGCTGGGCATGGTGGCTCATGCCTGTAATCCCAGCACTTTGGGAGGCCGAGGCAAGGCGGATCACGAGGTCAAGAGATCCAGACCATCCTGGCCAATATGGTGAAACCCTGTCTCTACTAAAAATACAAAAAAAAAAAAAAAAAAATTAGCTGGGCGTGGTGGCGTGCACTTGTAGTCCCAGCTGCTCAGGAGGCTGAGGCAGGAGAATTACTTGAACCCAGGAGGCAGAGGTTGCAGTGAGATGAGATCGCGCCACTGTACTCTAGCCTGGCACCTGGTGACAGAGCAAGACTCTGTCTCAAAAAAAAAAGGGTCTTCACTTACCATGCTCAAATTTTTGTTTTCAAAGAACCCCAGCAAAGGAAGAGATGGGTTTCCATTTTCTCCGGCTGGTGTTTTTGAGTCAATGCTGATGAAATAAGATACCGGAAAACCAGGGTTTGAAGAGTGACGTCATTCCCCCAGGGGAGATTTGATTCCACACAGGGTAGCGATGTGCTTCTAAAAGTGTCTCTTGTTTTCTTCCTGCAGCTCGATCATTATCCTTCTGTGAGTTACCATCTGCCAAGTTCATCCGACACACTCTTCAACTCTCCCAAGTCGCTCTTTCTGGGAAAAGTTATAGGTAAGAATGTGGTTCGTTAGGTATAAATGTACGTTAAGAATACATTTGGGTAATGTGATTTTGGATTTTAAAACTATCAGGTAAATTTCTCTCACTGGGGCCAGTCACGAATATCTTCTCTGTACAGAAAAGTTGCACGGTTGTTCTTGGTGTTTGTACAAGAGAAGCATCAGCAAATCATCTTTGGGGTAAATTGCTCGTGTACCTCATTCTGAAGCTACTCATTTGCCTATCAAATACATTGTGATTAGGCTGGGGGTGGTGTGTGATGTCTGTAATCCCAGCACTTTGGGAAACTAAAGCGGGCGGATCACTTGAGGTCACAAGTTCAAGACCAGCCTGGCCAACAGGGTGAAACCCCATCTCTACTGAAAATACAAACATTAGCTGGGCACACGCCTGTAGTCCTAGCTACTCAGGAGGCTGAGGCGGGGAGAATCGCGTGAACCTGGGAGGTGGAGGTTGCAGTGAACCAAGATCACACCAGTGCACTCCATCCTGGGTGACAGAGCAAGACTCTGTCTCAAAAAATGAAATAAAAATGAAAAAGAAATACATCGTGATTGGTGCTGGGGGCTTCTAAGTCAATGTTGATAATGGAACTGGTGTTTGCTGTGTGGCATAAACTACAACTCAGGTGAAGGCAAGTCTGCTCCAGGCTTCTCTATGGAGAATTTGGTTTATTACAGGCCTCTACCTACTAGCAATAGGATGTAATTTAAAATTTCGTTTGTCAAAGCATATCGACATGACTCTGTCTTCCTCTCACAAGAAAGTGCCTTGATATTATTTGCAGATTAGAAAGACAGTAAGAGCTTTGACAGTGTGACAGAACACCCTTCCCCACGTGTGATTGTGAATTCCAGAGTCTCCTTGTCCTTCTCTTCACCAGAGGAGGTTAGCACTGTGCAAAGCTAAAAATGTACCATGAGCCTCAGATATGTGAAGGTTACACCCTAAATTTTTAAAATATGATTGATGAAGTATTTTTAAGTATTTAATGTCCAGCCAGTGAATTTTTTTTACTATGAGGCTGTGTACTGTGAACCCCAAATGAAAACAGTAAGATGGTGGTGACATTCAGGTGGGTAGGGAGGTCCCTTGGTAGCCAATGGATAGAAATGATCAGAATAGCATTAATGGTAAAAATTCTCACTTAAAATCATGGAACAGGGGTCATAGAAAATGAGGAGGGAGCAGGAGACTGAACCTTTAATAAAAATAATATTGTGCACTGATGTCAGATTTTCTGTAGGCCAGGCTCCAATTTAAGCTCTTTGTAGATATTAACCCATTTAATTTTCATAACAATCGTATGAGGTAGTTGAGATTATGATCTCCACTATTTAGATGAGAAAACTGAAGCCCAAAGAGATTATGTAACCTGGCCACCTGGCTAATAAGTGGCAGAATCAAAATCTGAACTCAGTCAATCAGACATCAAGGGAGCTCTTTCCTGTGCTGTAATCCCTGTGGCGGTTAATCTAGAAATGCAAAGAGGAAGACAGAGAGGATGGTTGGGGCAGGAGGTAAGCACTGAGGTCGACCAGTTAAGGGATAAAACCCACATCTTGTGCCAGCAAGTGGTCAAGAACAAAAAGGATTTCTGGGTTTAGAACCAGGCACACACCAGTCCGGCTGGTGAAGGAGGCATCCAAAAGACAGTGGGAAAGCAGGTGTGTGCATGAAGTCCAAGACCACTCAGTGAACAAGATGGTAGGGAGTGGCAAGTGAAAAGTCAAAGGCTGGAACTGGAAAACAAATGAGGACTCAAATGTATTGATCATTGGTCCTTAGATATGGTACGAAATGAAAGGATAATTAAATCTCTCCTGCTTAATCCTTTGCATCCTAAAAACAGCCCACAGGCATTCTCAAATCTAGTTTTGGGTTACCTTACCCTGATGTCCTTATCTGAATTTTCTCCAACACTTTCTGTAGTTGCTGTATTTTTACAGATCTTATCACCACTTTTACTGTCTGTGAACAAGAAGAGACTTTGTGACATTACCTGTTACAAGTGTAAATATAGGAAACGAACGTCACAACAATCCAGTGAAATGAGATCCCTGATTATGAACCTCATTTTGCAGATGAGAAAACGGAAGCAGAATAAGGTCAATTTGACAAGAATTACTCAACTAATCTTGGGAAAGCAGAGTTTGGAAGTGAGGTCTCTCTGATGAGAGTCCAGACTCTTAAGTAGATCAAACAAACTTGTCATTCATGGTCAAGCTCCAGAAGAGGGATGTGTTTGAAAGTTGAGCAGTGCCATCAGTTAGCAACAAAAGGTGGCTGTTTAATGGGGTAGGGCCTTGGCATTCATAAGGCATGGATCTGAGACTTTGGTGAATACCCACTTTCCACCAGAGGCACTCCCACAGTTCAGTCAAGAATACTTTAAAATGTTAAGTGCTCCTTCAAACCATGTGATTCCATCAAACAGACTCTACACTTTGCTACTGTGATGTTCCTGGAGATACTACACTATGACATTCCTAAAGTAACATCAACTATAAACATGTCTGAAAAAATAGACTTTTTATTTCTTTGTGAAACCTACAAAGTCCAATTTTGATGGGAATGTTGGCTGATTTCTGGGTTCTGTCACTATGAGGAATATCCTCTGGTTCCTCTTTTTTCCAGATCATGTAACTAAATTCACATTTCAGCACAATTGTAATAAACTGTATGGCCTAGACCTTCAAGGTCATGAACAAATAACATCATGAAGGCCACATCTTCTACAGCTAAGAATGTACCGTGCCATCAATCTATGCACAGCTAAAAGTGTGCCATGAGCCTCAGATACATGAAGGTTACTCCCTGACTTTTTTGTACACCCAAGGAAAAGGTTGCTGCATACACAAACTAGGTAACTGTGTGTGTGACAGTGAGTTACAGAAAGTACACATCAACACCCATGAGGAAGTCCCCAGTTCCAAGACGGAAACGGTGTCATGCATGTGAGAGTAGTCAGGGTTCCAGCAATGGAACCTTGGTGCACTGACTTCTAACAGAGATCGTATCTCATCCCTACAAGCCCGTGACCTCCCTGCAGACCAAGATAGCATCTCATAGGTCCACCATATACTAACAAGGAGCAAGTGAGCAGTAGATATTTGTTGATTAACAAAGAGTAAAAGGGGAACAAAACAGAAAGAATATCGTTGTAGACATATACTACAGGGTGAGAGGGTATGATGATCCTAACAGAATCAGTAAGATTAGCACAGAGGTGAGATCTGCAGTCCTCACGTAGCTCACAGCCTAAAAGTGGGCATCTGACAATCATGGAGGAGAAAGAATACGGACTTTAGAATTGGGCAGAGCTGGTTAGACTTGAATCCAGTTCTACTCTGTTAGCATTGAAATCTTGGCCATGTTGCTTTCTTAGTGAAACCTCTCGGAGCCTGGGTTCTCTCAGTTGCAAAATGGGGAACACAAATACCAACCTGCAGGTTGTTAGCTCCCTGAGGGCAGAGATTGCTGGGCAGAGACTCTTTTTTTAAACTAATCTATTTGCAGCAGTCTTATCAGTGCCTAGCATATAAAAAGGGCTCAAATAATATTTGTGGAGTACATGAACTGCTCTTTTAATATTAAGCTTGTCTTAAGACGTATCCAACACAATGCCTAATATATAAATAATCATTTTTGATGCTGGTCACCTGCCAGTTATTATGCTATATGCTGTAAGTACAATACAATCTGCATTCCTCACCGCACCACAGACCTTGTTACCCTCGTTGTATAGAAGAAGGAACTAAGGCTCAAATCGATTAAGTTATTTTCTTAAAGTAGGGTTTCCCAACAGTAGAACTATTGACATTTGGGGCCAGAAAATTATTTGTTAAAGGGGCTGTCTTGGGCATTGCAGAATGTTTAGCAGCCTCCCTGGTCTTTACCCACTAGATGTAATCACGACCCCAAGTTGTGACAACCAAAAATGTCTCCTGACATTGCTAAATGTCCCACAGGAGGGAAAAATCAGCACCAGTTGAAAACCACTGACTTCAAGCCACCCAGCTAGTCAGTGGTGATGCTGAGATTTGAAAAGCGTGATTAGCCAGGCGCAGTGGCTCAAGCCTGTAATCCCAGCACTTTGGGAGGCCGAGGCGGGTGGATCACGAGGTCAAGAGATCGAGACCATCCTGGTCAACATGGTGAAACCCCATCTCTACTAAAAATACAAAAAATTAACTGGGCATGGTGGTGTGTGCCTGTAATCCCAGCTACTCGGGAGGCTGAGGTAGGAGAATTGCCTGAACCCAGGAGACGGAGGTTGCGGTGAGCCGAGATCGCGCCATTGCACTCCAGCCTGGGTAACAAGAGTGAAACTCCGTCTCAAAAAAAAAAAAAAAAAGCATGATTTGTGACCCAAGACCTATGCTTTGCTTTCTGATGACACGTGCATCTTCCAGAATGATGAGGAAGCAAGGATGAGATCAGATATTCTGAAGCTGAAATTCTGTTAATACAATTGAAGGAGTCACAGTGAAGACCCCAAAAAGTCATGTCAGTGCCCATATTTGATGTATTTCATAGGGGCAGGATTAAGGAGGAATATGCTTAAATGTCTCTTTGAAAACAACATATACTTCAGTGACAGACAACCCATTTGCGTTTCCTAGCTGTGTAAAAATCCACCTGTTCAGACATGCGTATTGAACTTGCAGCAAGTATGTACTCTGGCCAGGTTTTGAAATCCCCTGGAGATTCATGACCCAAAGTTGTTGATTTGCTAGGTCAGCTGCTAATCAGAAACTGATCCTACAAAAGAAAAAGAAGAAGATGGTTCTGAATACCTAAGATGACTTCACACTGAGCTCTTTGATGAGCACTGCTCGAAAATGGAACATAAAAAGGCTGGAAAAAAGGCTACCTAATCAAAGACAAGTGTGATCTTTATATAGGGGATGGAGGATATATTTTCAAGATGTAACAGTGTGATCACTGCCAACCAACAGCAAACTTTTAGAATGGATTCTTCCATAATC